TAAGTTGTCACTTTTCTACATTTAATTATCTAGCCTAGTTTAATTAAGTAAAATATAATACCGGTATGTATTGTAAACAAAAGGTTTTAATGTATATAACATCTCAATCTTAGACTAATACAATGTAACAGTCCATAATCAGAAGAGTTTCTGAAAAAAGGAAACCATTCATCACCTTTCTATACAAAACAATTTTTTAAAAAAATTCCTAATTGTGTAAGTTCATTCAGTCAAGATGAACCAATATTTACATTATTAGTTAAAATTAATAGAATAAATTTCAAATTCACATGCCAAAAGTTAATATTTTTTTTTAAATAATGCAGTATTGTAAAATAATCTTCCTAAATTATACAAAAATTAAGCTCTGAATTACAAGAAATCTAGTGAGCAAATCCAGCATTAAACATTATGCAGTAGAATTGGAATATATTGCAGTGGTTTGAATTTCACTATGTTCATAATAAAAGAATTTTCCACTTACATTATGAACATTAAGCCATCATGAATATTGTTGACATGTATCAATCTTGTATCAAATACATGTCAGACACTTTAAATTCCTGTTCTGTAATAGTACAATAGTATTACAAATCAGTGAAAATCTTTTGGAAACCCAGGGTCAATAAAAAATGGCATGTGAAAGCTATAGTTACTGGATACATTTATTATAAATTCTTTACCACCACTGTCTTTGTATTGAAAGAATGATTTTCAAAATTACAAGGACGCTGTATTCAAAAATGAGAAATTAAGTAATTGTGAATTAATTATTAAGACCACCATGAAATAAACCAGCACAGAAAATCATGAGATATCAATTAAAACATTTAGAATTAAAATTGTGTACAAACACAATTTCAGTGTGAATTAAACTACCTGGTAATCTGATCCTATTTCATTTATTTATATCATTAAGCTGAATTGCTCTCTCAACTTGTAACATACATGATGAGCTTGACTCATACGAGACTTAGTACCTAACACTTAAAAATAATGAAATAATATCAAAATTTCACATATCATCATGATCATAAGCACTCTAGAGATTTTTTAATGAGTATTATTTTTTCAAAGCCTAATTTAATAACATGTACATGATGTACACATGTACTATACACTAAAGCTTATAAACGTCTCTGACATGAATTAAGTATATAATATGTTTTTTTTTATGTGGTACAAGAAATGAGAAAATCTACTGAAACAGAACAGAATTTAAACCAAGGAATGTTAAAATTTCTCTATTTTAAAAGCCTGCTTCAGAAAAGCAAACCAGAGCTTCTCTCTGCCAGATATTAACTCCCATATATTTCAGAGATGATCTTGGCACTTAATAGCAGGTGCACTGCGAGTTCTTACGACAATGCCTTGGCGAAGAGAAAATTCGGTCTTCGCACTTTGATCCAAATGAATTTTTTCTGCAGTAACCTCTGGACCCACAATCCTTTGTAAAGCTGCATCTCCCTGCACACTACATGCTCTTGGTGACAACAGGAAATTCACCAAAAAATAAACTCACCATGATTAAACATTTCTTTAATGGATTTTGCAAAGAGATAGTATGTTAAACATTCTTTGTTAAAAAATTGCACCTTGAGACTTTATGGGAATGCAACTAACATAGGACGACATGTGACGTCACAGTCTAGACTCTCGTGCAGTTTGAAAAGGCACAGGGATTTATCAAGCTACTTTATTTGACTATGTTTTCATATATATTCTTGCAACCCTTCTTATTTTCCCTCTTTTAAAGGGGGAAAATGAGTACGGCTGCAAGACATTTAGCAATGGAGGTGTGAATGGAGGGAGTGAGGGAGTAGAGGTGCATGCCTCTCTGAAAATTTTCAGATCTGCCTCCTGAGAGCTTAACTGGGAGTTATTTCTAAAATTATCAGAAATTAAATTAAATGTTACATACATTAATCAGGAAGTTTTTATAACTATAAAAGGGGAATTTTGGACATATTTTTAGAAAGGGAAAGGTACCTTTCCAGCATTGATAGTGAGCAATCCAAAGCACTGCTCATCACTGTGAGCTCTTAAAGAAACGCCTGGGTGAAGAGAAAATTCGGAATGTGCACATTGATCCAAACAAATTTTTTTCGGCAGTAAGTGCCAGTATAACCTCTGGAGTCTGGACCCGCAATGCATCTAGCTGCTTACTACATTCTCGCGATAACAGCAAGAGTTCACCAAATAATGAAACTCACCTTGATTTAATTGATATTGCAGGTAAATTAGTAAATTAAACATTCTTTCTTAAAATTTGCACTTTCAGATGTTTTGGTAATGAAACTAACATAGGAACGATGTCACGTGATGACACAGTCTATAAGCTCCAAATGTCTCGTACAGTTTGAAGAGGCTATTCTAGGTTAAAACAGTTAAAATTGATTAGGCATCTGTGCTCACCCTATCGGCCGCACCGTCAACATATCAGGAAAGGAGAAATTACAATGGACTAGTACACAATTTGAACCAGTGTCCCCTGATTAATACTGTAGTGAAAATGCATATGTAAATATATCTCCTATGACCTTTCACCCTGACCTCATAGCCACCCACCCGTGCCGGCACGCTTCCCAAGTCAGTCGAGTCCTGCCAGTCATACCTGTTCACCACGTTTGTTACCTTTGTTGTTGTATGTTGTATGTACCCGTGTTTACCCAACATGTAGACCCGTGTGCTTCCGTCGTCACCTTATACTAAGGTAGGCGACATTATTAGTAAAATCCCATAATTTTACTACATTGGCGTCGCCGGTAGGATGAATTAGCAACATAAGAATAGTAATTACTATGTAAGAAGTTATTAGCTGTGCACCTCAGTTAAACAGTGAGCAATATAAGTATTGCCCATACAAAGTAAATTAGATGTTGATTACAAGTACTGTATTTTAGTCATGTAGTAAAACTCATTATTAAAGAATACTTAGGCTTTAATTAGTACATGTGTATATATGTAGTTCAAATCTGGGTGAAGCATATTCAGGCAGTATAAGTCATAATTTTGCAGTGATCTACTCTGTTGCATGTCTTTGACCCAGTTCCTAAGGATGGCCAGGAATACTTAAACCAGGACTGGTGTAAACATGCAACCTAAGCTTTCCGTTGGATATAACCTGGCTGATATTTTTCAGTGACGGTATATCATTGCGGATTGCCTTATGTATATAGTCCATGCTTTCCGTTAGATATCCGGCTGACCATTCTCAGTGACGGTATGGTGCGGATTGCTGTATGTAAATAGTCTTGTGCTTTCCATTAAGATACTTGGCTGACCTCTTTCAGTGACAGTATTGGGGCGGATTGCTTTACACATTTTGTATATAGTATATGTTGTAGTTATGTAGTTATTAGTTAAACCAAGTATATTTTCCGTGTCATACCTGGCTTACTAATCTTAGAAAGTGACGGTATTGATGCGGAACATGTTTTGCTCTATGTAAATAGTCTTGTGCTTTCCGTTAAGATACTTGACTGACCTCTTTCAGTGACAGTATTGGGGCGGATTGCTTTACACGTTTTGTATATAGTTATATTTCCTAGTTATTACTTAGACTAAGACTACATTTTCTGTGTCATACCTGGCTTACTAATCTTAGAAAGTGACGGTATTGATGCGGAACGTGTTTTGTAAATATGTTTCTAGTTGTTAAATTTCAAAGTTATGTTATTTCTAGTTAGGAATATAGGATATATACATTCTTCAGTTAATTTAGTACTTAGGCTAGGAAAAAAGATAATACATTTTTGTAAGTTAGTTAAAGTTAGTATAGTTATACAGTATATGCATCGTAGTTAAGGTGACGACACACATCAAAGTATAATAATTAAAATATAATGTTATTATCAGTATACATCACAACAGTTCAGTAAATTAATTTCCTATTATTTATATATCTGTTGTAAGGTTCTAACATAGACTGCACTCCTGCACAATTTAATTAGGCAAATCAGTTGTATACATGATTAAGTGATCATACATATTAACCTTAGTACAACTGAATCTCACTAGACTAAACCATGTGTCATAACATCATTCGGTTTCAGGACTTTCATGGAAGTAGGTCAATGTTAGGTCATAGGTCAATAGTATTCTTTTTGATTAATGTTTAAACCCACTAGATTCAAAATAGATAATATGGAATGCGTATGACTAAAACATGATCATTATAGATCCAATGTGGAAGATACAAGTTGATTATCATGATTCGCAAATCAAACCATATACAATCTTGCCACATACATACATGTTTATCCTGCAGAACTAAGGCGCTAGAAGTAATTCCGGCCAAGTTCATGTGGATACATGAATTAGTTCATACGTTTTCCATGTCATATTGAATAATCATCATATATTTTGGGTTTGCATTCCTCTGAGTAAATTACAGCACTTGCCCCTAGCTTTATTAAATAAAACGGGGAGGAATGTAGTGAAAATGCATATGTAAATATATCTCCTATGACCTTTCACCCTGACCTCATAGCCACCCACCCGTGCTGGCACGCTTCCCAAGTCAGTCGAGTCCTGCCAGTCATACCTGTTCACCACGTTTGTTACCTTTGTTGTTGTATGTTGTATGTACCCGTGTTTACCCAACATGTAGACCCGTGTGCTTCCGTCGTCACCTTATACTATGGTAGGCGACATTATTAGTAAAATCCCATAATTTTACTACAATACCCAAGTGATCTAGTAACCTTTAATTTATCTGTTTAAGTGGCCCCAGTGGACATTCTTAACTGACAGCCGCCTATCTAAATGAATCAGAACACAATCATACTTGTATGTAATAAACATCCCGTTTCTTCTTTGCAACGACAGCATGCATAATATGGATGTCAGAGATAGATAATGACAATCTGAGTCCCTTATTCATGATCATAGGGCACACCCAGACATTTTTGGTAAATTTTTCAAAAGGCAAAATAGAAATACAACGCGAATATTTGTCTGCAAAGACTACAAACCCTCAACTTTCAATTGTGAATTACCTGTGTCCACGCTTAGATGTTGTCAAGCCATTACAAGGATGTAAATATCAGTCTAACATCTTTACGGGAAGTCAACAGAAAATGGCGATGTCTCGAGAGTTCGCGTTCTTCTGACGAGACTACAAAGCGGAAGTCAGAAAATGCGAGATTTGAAATGGATGTCTATCAAACGTAAAAATGCTGTCTCTTCAGGAATATAACAACAGCGATTCTAGTGACGCAGAAGATGAAAAAACAGATTCAACAGAAGATTTCACAGCTCATCTTAAACCAATCGATCCAGATAAAAAGTCCATAACCACATTGGCTTTAAATGCTGCCCCGGCTATTGCGACAAAGGTGCCAATGTGTTTTTCGAATTTCCTCGGTTAAAAAGAAAATTAAGATATAAAGATTACAACCATTCATCATGTTCTTGCATTTCAAAACACCGACTGTTACAAATGAATTGAATATTCAGAATATATTCACTGTTCCATCAGATTGACTTTTGACATTTTTTTTTTATTTGGATGTTTTATTTTTGTAAATGGTGAATTAGAGATACACGTATGTCAAAAGATCTGTCTAGATCTGGACACTGTGGATGAGTTCAGTTAGGTTGGCATAAGTGTAATCATTAGTGTGGAAATCAAAATTTTGCATGCCTACAGTTTTGGCTGTAGTTTCATATATATGCCTTGTAGTTTCATAAAAAAATTGTTGTTTGAACTTACAGGATGAGCTTTTGAAAATTTTGTAAACTTAAAAAGAACTATTTAAAACATATATACCCGAGATTGATAGTACATTTATGAAGTGTCGTTTAAATTTTCCTCACGTTAAAATTTGACTGTTTCTAAGAATGGTTTAATTAACCGGATCTAAGAATGAATAAATGAGCTAAGTAAATCATGTATTAGTTGCATTATCCTGACTGTAAAGAGATCAAGTTATCAGGAAGAACACCTTCAAATATTTTTCATGAGTTAGTCAGAATTACAGAGTAGAAGCTGCAGTTATTTCCCTATATGAAATTCTCTGTAAAATTTAAATCTTTGTAACAGTTGATTTTTGTGTTTTCTGTCATTATGAATGTTCACAAAGAATCATGATGTGCTATTCTTGGAACTGAGGAAACTCTGCTTGAAAGTTTTGTAGATCAAAAATTTGCTGTTGAAAATTCTTTTCTTTTTTTTTAATTCTATGATGTCACTGTTTAGACCTCCTTGTATGCTTTACTTTTAAACAATCTGAAAACATTCTACATTGAAAAGGCATTATATTGGCTTTCTAACATATTAAAGTTAAATGCTTATCTGTATTGACGCATTTCACTAGGAGGCAAAGGGTTAATTTCCACTCAGTGAAGACAGTGAATGCATGAATGAAGACTGTTTGTAGTAAGCTTTTCAAAAACGACACACTTCAGTAACATTAAAAAAGGATAACACTCATTAGCTACTTTGATATATTTTATATTTTGAATTAAATTGAAAATTGATACATGTATTTGGTTTCAAACTTTGAATCTAAGTCCTTCAGGAAATGTCAAAAGTTACAGAGAAAAATGAAGTTACTGCATGCCAAATAAAAAGATAAGGCATTGAAAGTGGGAAAAAATCTTGAATATGGTGTGATAAAACTTTTCATTTCTTTATTAGTTTTAAGTTGTTAATCAGAAGTCTTTCAGCAAAAATATACCGGGATAATACACGTTGCAAATACTCACTGACAGATTCTGATTTTGAGTGATTGTTTTAGCTCTATAATTGAAAGCTGTGCCCAACCAATGTACCTTTTTCCAGACTGCCATGTAATGCTTATGTTTTTTGTATGCAAGACTTGAAACAGATTTGTGACCATTAATGAAGACTTTCTTATTTTCCTTTCAGGAAGACATTGAACAGAAAAGACATATTGGAAGTTCTGTAAAAGAAGTCACATATAATCCTAAATATGAGGAACTTTATGCTCCAAAGGTAAAAGCCAGCCACTGACTCAATCTCTGTTTATCATTTTATTTGATATTCTAAGAATCTCCTAGACAAATGTTCTAAATAAAGTTTCCAATCCATATCTAATGTGGAAGAAATTAAGTATGTTATGAATAAATACACACAAAAGTGTATTCAAACACAATCAGATGTAATTGTGGGACATTTTGAAGATGCAACTTCTTAAGAAGATTTGATTGAGTAAATGGTAATATAGAAATCTTAGATTTGAGTCATTTGACCTTTGTAGTATCTATTTAATTTATTTGTCCTTGTTTCAATAGGTTGGACCTGCAAATCCATTCAAAACCCGACAGATGCTGGCCACCAGGAACACCCTGGCTGGGTTTGCAGAACCTGCTCATGTCAGTAACTTTGAATTTGAGAACCAGAGAAGGACATTTCATAGTTATGGTATGCACATAGCATTGACTGAATCTTATTTATGCCTGTTATTGGTTGCAAACATCATTACATGTTATGATCAATCATCACATAGTAGAAACTATATGTACTGAGGCTATAAGATACCAGAATGATGTTGTTTTTTTTTTTTGTTTTTTTTGCTTAGGATATGCTGTGGATCCCTCAGAAGGAAACAGTGTTGTAGCTGAACCGGTAATGATTGGTGATGTCACTGCTAAAGACGAAAATAAAGGTGAGCAACCTATAGTAGTAAGAAGTACTTTATATCCAAAGAAATGATTTAGCAATGCTTTATTTTCATGAATATCATATTGTTCTTGGCCACTGGGCCAATTTTAACCAAGAAATTCATTGACAAGTATTCTTTAGATGAAGAGCCATTCACTCTAACAAAGGGAGATAATTAAGAAATTTTGAAAATATGGTGTCATTTGATGAACCACTGAGCTGGAAAGACAAAACTTATGTGAAAGCTTTCTCATAAGTTTTATATAGTGTAAATACAAATTATGTTCTATGGGTCTAGGTCTGTGGCCATATTAGGGGTAAAAATTTATCTTGAAATATAAAGGAAAAATCTTGTTCCCAAGTATTTTTAATGCCCGTCCAGTTTGTTCTTGACTGACCAATTGGGCAAGATTTCTGTTAAGATGTTTGTAACACATGTAGGTGCATACACTAGGTAACAGATTCATATGAAACAGAAATTGATGGGACAGTCGTAATTATCTAATCAATATTAAAGTTTTTAAATGTAAATTTTTACCATCAGGAAAAACAGTTTTTGAATCAACAAAGAAAAGACCCGAGGATAAAAGAAAGAGATTACGTAATGATGACCCGGGCAATGTTGAAGGATATTTGGGACCCTGGGGCAAATTTGTTGATGAAAAAACTGTCATGAAACCAAATGAGGTAAGATATTCTACAACATCTCTATAATTATAAAGATTCTGAAATTTATTGTTATACCCCCCGCAAACGAAGTTTAGGGGGGGTATATTGGAATCAGCTTGTCCGTCTGTCTGTCCGTCTGTCTGTCTGTCCGTCTGTCTGTAGACGAGATTTTGTCCGGACCATTTCTTGGAAAGTGTTGCAAGGATTTGTCTGAAAATTTGTACACTTATTCTTCGCCATATGAAGGTGTGCACCTGGTATTTTCACCATGATTGGATAATTTTTTGGCATTTTACAGGTGTTTTTTTCATTTTTGTTATGTGGCTTTGTCTGGATCTGTTCCCAGAGACTATTGCATAGATTTGTATGAAAATTTGTACACTTATTATTTACCATATGAAGATGTGCACCTGGTATTTTCAACATTATTTGATAATTTTTCTGCATTTTACAGGTGTTTTTTTTTTTCATTTTATTGACTTAGTCATTTCGGGTTCATGTCTATGGTTTGAGACATAGAATCTGGAACATCTGTACAAAAATGTGAACTAAAGCTTAAAACTACTCATTAGAACTAAAAAAAAAATCACAAAGTATTAAAAACAGTTTTTACATTACACAGCAGATAGTGTAAATCCATTTGTCCCTTTGGAGTAATGAGTGGACATACATCCAGTTAAAGATTAATTAATGAGTTCAGTGTGGGAAGCTGTTAGGGCATCTCTGATCAAGCAGGTCTTATCTATATCTCCTGGGAATTGGCAGAAAGAAATAAAGATCTCTGTTGTCTAAGTCTCTTAATTGTAATTTATGTCTGTCAAAATACATAGTTACTGAAACCAGCCTTTTATTTTTAAAATGAGTTTGATATAAAGGTATTTAGATCAGTTTGACTTTGTTTAATTAATTATGATATTTTTTTTTCAACAATCAATTTGCAGAGTGTCATGTCTCACAAAGATGACAGATAGCTGCAAACTATTTTTTCAATGTAATTAAAAACACTGTAATTATTAGTATTGATGTTTTATTAGGCTGCACCTTAATTTCATTCATTAAAAAAAAAATTTAATGAGTAATTAAATTTTCACTCTAATAACTCGGATCTGTTCCCAGAGACTATTGCATAGTTTTGTATGAAAATTTGTACACTTATTATTTACCGTATGAAGATGTGCACCTGGTATTTTCAACATTATTTGATAATTTTTCTGCATTTTACAGGTGTTTTTTTTTTCATATTTATTGACTTAGTCACTTCGGGTTCATGTCTAAGGTTTGAGAGAACATCTGTACAAAAATGTGAACTAAAGCTTAAAGCTACTTATCAGAACTAAAAAAAATCACATAATATTAAAAACAGTTTTTACATTACACAGCAGATAGTGTAAATCCATTTGTCCCTTTGGAGTAATGAGTGGACATACATCCAGTTAAAGATTAATTAATGAGTTCAGTGTGGGAAGCTGTTAGGGCATCTCTGATCAAGCAGGTCTTATCTATATCTCCTGGGAATTGGGCAGAAAGAAATCAAGATCTCTGTTGTCTAAGTCTCTTAATTGTAATTTATGTCTGTCAAAATACATAGTTACTGGAACCAGCCTTTTATTTATAAGATATAAAGGTATTAAGATCAACTTGATTTTGTATAATCAATTATGATTTTTTTTTTCAACAATCAATTTGCAGAGTGTCATGTCTCACAAAGATGACAGATAGTTGCAAACTATTTTTTCAATGTAATTAAAAAACACTGTAATTACTAGCATTGATGTTTTATTAGGCTGCATCTTAGTTTCATTCATTAAAAAAATATAATGAG